AAATACAAAAAATTAGCTGGGCATGGTGGTGCGTGCCTGTAATTACAGCTACTCAGGAGGCTGAGGCAGGAGAATTGCCTGAGCCCAGGAGGCAGAGGGTTGCGGTGAGCTGAGATCGCGCCATTGCACTCCAGCCTGGATAACAAGAGCGAAACTCCGTCTCAAAAAAAAAAAAAAAAAAAAAAAAAGAAACTATTATGGGAAGAGAGAGATTAATCCAAATTGAAATAAAGAGGTGGCTCCTGCCTGGTCCTTAAAGGATGGGAGACATGATGACAGATGAAGATGGACTGAAAAGGTTAGTCCAGGTTAAGAAAGCACTATGAGCAAAATATGGTGGGAGCTATGTAGAATTTGTTTAGAGACTGATAGAAAGTAAAATGTGATCAGGGGTGTGTGTACAAGGAGGTAGTAGCAAGGAGGATGGAAATAAAGTGTCATTTCAGGGTTTCCCAGAAGATGCTAAGGCACTCATTTAAGTTACAGCATTTTATTAGGAAGGGTAATGGGGAAGGGGGGAACCAAAAATGAAGGAAGCTTAAGGATGTGTTATCAGGCAAAGTTCCATGGAGAGTAAATTTTGTTAAGTCCCATAGGGGTACTCTGGAGATGTGACAGATCACACTTCAGAGCTGTTCCAATCAGGGGCAAAAAGTAGAAGCATTGATGCTCCTTCCTCCACCAGTCATTGATCAAGGCTCTACCCAACCCCAGAAGACTTAAATACCCAGGCTATTCTGGCTTTTCTGCCTGCCGACCAAGCCCTCTCTAGCAGCCCGAGGGCTCCCCTCCTACGATGATTGGCAGGGGTTGGCTGGTGGGAGTGAAAGCAATGGGGAGCCATGTTTGCAAGAAAATGGGGATGGGTAGAGTACTGACATCTTTGGCTGCTACGGTAGGCTGGGCCATTCAACAGAACACTGAGTGCCAGGGTGAGGGTTAATATTTATTCAAACCATATTCAAAAGCAGTAGGGAACCACTGAGACTATCTGCGCAGGGATGTGACAAAAGCAGATGACACCCACCATCTTCTGCTTTCTGGAAAAAAGAGAGGTCCACTTTCCATTGGAGTAAGAAAGAGACTCCCAGTGCATTTACAGGTGTAACATGAGTAAGGAATTACAGACAAAAGTCTGCCAAAAAAAGAGAGAGTCTTTAATCTAGGTAATACTTCCAAAGGACCATGCAATTAGTCTCTGTCTGAAGGCAGAATAAGAGAATGTTTCCTTGGAAAACCACTTAAGCTTGCTGTTGATTTTCAGATGTACTTGTTTTTATAATAGCACACTCTGGGAAAGCATGAAAGGCAATTCATACAGATAAAAACTTCCTGTCTAGCTACCTGACATGCCTTTCAGAAGGATAATTATTTATAGCTAATAAATAATCCCAAGTCATGAAGTAAACTGGAAGTTGTATTCTTAAACTACAGTATGTTTGACAACTTGAGTTCTTCCTCTGCACCATCCTCCTCACTGGCTTAGGACTGTGGGACCTAATCCATACAAAGATAAATGTTGAGGAACCTTCACTAACAGAGTCAATAAGCAACAAGGCACCATGTCTTTCTGGCACTCCTAGTGCAGAAGCATGTTAGTATTTCTGAATTATTAATGATTATTAATTCTGATCCCCTATTACTAGTAAAATCAGTCCCTGTAACCCATGTTTCACCTTCTCGACTGCATAATCTATGAGAAACATCAAGTCTCCAAGGCTGCTCATACTACATCTGCAGCTCCTGGAATGACAATTGCATTGAAATGGCCAAGACAGGAAACTGAAACTGAAGTGCCACTTCACATAGCTGGCTGATAATCAACCACAGAGAGCCCAGCTTAGCCTGAGGATGAGCCACTAATGAAGTACAAGGCAGCATACAGAGCAGGCGTCCCCAGGCTACGGCCCACGGGCCGCATGCGGCCCCCTGAGGCCATTTATCCGGCCCCCCGCCACACTTCAGGAAGGGGCACCTCTTTCATTGGTGGTCAGTGAGAGGAGCACAGTATGTGGCGGCCCTCCAACGGTCTGAGGGACAGTGAATTGGCCCCCTGTGTAAAAAGTTTGGGGACACCTGATATAGAGCATGCCTTTGTGCCTGTCCTCCTCATTTTTGGAAGACTTGATATCTAAGCACATCTGAGTCTTTAGCTTTTCTTCTATATAGAATAGAGTAAGCTGGGCAGGGGAAGATGGCAGAGATTAGAGACACTAACTTCTGCTGGGTTCCTCAGAAACAGACTCTTAAGGTGAAGATTCTTATGCAAGTGATTTATTAAGGAAGTTCTCTCAGAGAAACCAGTAAAGGGGTATGGGAAGCAGAATAGGGACATGTCTAAGCTTGGGCAAAATTCCATGGAAGGTAGCTTCTACCTGATGTGGTAATATACGTAACACTTTGGAGTTTTTCCGACTTTCAGTAAGGGAAGTAGACCTTCATACTCCCCACCTATCGCTTATTGATGAAGGGTTGTCTTGTGGCAGGGGGTACAAAAATACCCAGGACTTCTGGTTCTCTGCCTATGTAGGCAGAAAGCTACAGTAGCCCAAGGGAAGTCTTCTAAAGAGAGTCTCAGATGGAGGCTGTTGTGGCAAACATTCTAACAGACATGGTTAGGGACCTAAGGGGATCTGGCAGAGGGCCCACGGTATTCCATAGTGAATGCAATCAGAACTTTTCTACCTTTAGTAGGTTCAGAAAGACTCAGAGATGCTTCCCTCTTATGATAGAATATGAACCACTCATTGACAATGTAGAAGTGATTACTGTGGAAAATGTTGATTTCTAAGCACAAAGGATGCCTAGGAGAGATCTAGGAGAGCCTAGATATAATTTCAGCAAAGTCCTTCAACTATTTCCAGGAAACTGACTGGAAGAATGCTATTGTTCCCTCGAAAGTGGTTTCCAAAGACCTCCTATGTGCTTTAATGTTAATTTCATGACAGGTAAATTAAATGTATGTACTAAGATGCATGTTACTTGTTCTCTATCTGGGTCACACATCAGATTATCTCTTGGACATTTTCTAATTATGATGTTCATTCATAACACACAAAAGGAAGTAACTGATAGGAGACTGCAAAGTCATAGTGAATGCTATCTTTTATGGTGAGGGTTTTCATTCAATTCCAAAAGACTTAATGCTGAAATGATCAAATAATTTTTATATTTAATGTCAGGGGAATGCTATGCTATTATGGACTTGTTTGTTGTTAATACTGTATTTTCTATCTCTATCACAGTTACGTTGGGCATGGGCTTGCAGTTATCTTATGCTTAAGGATTTTTTATTGTGTTTTATTGTAAATTTTGCCCACAGGACAAATATACCTCCTAAAGATTTTCCATGGCTGTTTACATCAAGTTTCAAGTTGACAGTTACAAAACCTTACCAGAAAGTTGTATTTATCTTATGAATCTCAGTGTCCTCATCTATAAAATGGGGATAATTGTACTTACCTCACAGGTTATTGTAACCATTAAATGAAAACAATACTGCTGTCCATGATGTTATGGGGGGCATCATTTGTTTTTGTTATCTAGCATCTTTCATCATTCCTTTAGTACTACTGTATCTGGATTTCCTCTGGGGCAATCCCACCTTCAGAATCAGGGTATATTCTGATTGTTTTAACCCAGCGAATGCATCTCACTTCCCTGGACACAGCCATAATCTTAGAATAGGCAAATGACAGAATTAGAATTAGGAGAACCAGGCCCAATGCACTGATTTGGCTGCTGGAGGAGGAGAAACTGTCTTCTCTTCTGAACAGTGTGGTGCAAAGATGAAAGGCTTGAAGCTACTGTGGCCATTAGAGAGGCATGCTTGGAGCTAGTCAGGGAGGACAACACTGCATGGAACCTGAAAATGAAGCCAATGAAGAGAAAAGATACTAAGAAATTCCAAGGCTTTGATAAGATTTGAACATCTGGATCAAGCCATACCTAATCATTGCTGGCCAAAAACTTCCTTTATTTTTTGAGCAGTATGAGCTGGAGTTTCTGTCCATTGCAATACAAGGATTCCAAATAACATGTATATTACCTAACATTTATTGAGAGCTTACAATGTTCCCGATAACATGCTGACAGCCATGAATAGAATGTTTATTCAAGCCTCGTCGCAGACCTATAAGCTACATCCAATGATTATATTACAACTTAGGACACTAAGGCATAAGAAGTTAAATAATTTGCCCAAGGTCACATGGGCAGTCATGAAGCCAGGACTGAACCAAGTAAGTTTGATTTGAGTCCACTGGTTTTTTTTAAATCATACTGTGGTTTTGCCTTTCTGTATATAAAGAATAATCTTTGGCTGCATAAATGTGACCTTTACTCACCTCCTTTTTGGCTTAAAAAATACTGCAAATGCATAGAGAATCCAGTTGCTTAAAGTGAACCCAAGGCACTGTTGGTCTAGATAAGAGCATGCTATACAGTATTGGCATTTAATTATCAGCTTTAAGATTGTTTTTCTCAATATAACTCCAGGCCTGTGTCATGAATCCCAAAAGTAGAAATGTAAGAAAATCAGATACTTAACTACTGGTTATTCCCTCATATGAGCAAAGGCAAGACCACTCCTGCTTATGGTCTGAATTGTGGAGAAAGAGAAACACAGGTAATGTTTTAAGATTACTCATGCTGTATCTGTTTGGTTTTGCCTATGTGAAAATGAAGGCTCTCTCTCTAATAAGATCATACAATGTGTTGCTTTCAGTGCTATACAACGAGACTGCCAAATAATAATAATCTTTAGTAAAAAATGTATATGATTGTGTGGCTTTCATTATACAAATGACCTACATTGACAAAGAATTTCCAAAACAGTGGATTTACAATATTTTTATAATATTATTCCAAAATTTGTTGCACTTATTTTTGTAGATTGTTACTTGAAATTTGAAAGTCATCAAGTTCTTCAGGCATATGACATCAATTTTGCTTATAAGTTGTCTCGTTGCCTAACTGACTAATCTGAGAGGATTTCCTACCTTGGGCTGAAGCACAAACCACTCATCAGTTGGATTTTCAAAGTTCCATGAGTCAAAAGGAATCTCTACTTCACCAAGGAAGTTATTACGTCCAAATCGATCATAGTGCCATACAGAGAGCTGCAGAGTTCTTGTTTCCAGCTGGGTATGGCTGATGGTGTACTGCAAACGAGATTTAAAACATTTCACTCCACAAGGAGGGCCTCTATCCAATTCCAGGACAGGTTTAAGTTTACTTCCAACATCTTTCAGATCATATACGTCAGTAGTATGAACAAAACAAACACAAAGAAAACTCTTTGTTTTACTTTGTTTCTGCTACAGTTGAAGTTCTATGCCATAAACTCATTTTGTGCCAGACTTAGCATTGAAAGATATATACGCAAATTATTTGAGGTAGAGATAAACTCCAGATACTGTATAAAAAGTGTTAGGTCATGAAGCTAATCCTCTTTCCAGTTTTATTAGTTTTTCATTTGCCTTAATTATTTTTTAACACATACTTCGTAAGCTCAAAGTTTAATATATACATTTTCCACCTTCTCTCTTATTTTATTCATAACGAGAACCCCCAAATTCAGGAAATGATTGACAATGAGAAACTTACCAACATCAAATTTTAATAAAGTCCAGCCTAAGTGCAGAGGTGAAAAGTTGTACGTGTATATTAGGCAGAAAGAAGATGTTGCTGGGCTAGCATTTTTCTTAATAACAGAACATTATCCAGGGCCACATGCTCATACACCCTCCATCCTTCTGGTTGTTCTATGCAATGACCATCTGGGACACACTTCAAACTGATTGATTCCTGATCTTGGATTAGTGTCTATTCTTGTTCTTGCTGTTACTGTCATAATTAAACTTGGTTCCCTGCTTCCTAAATTTACCTTCTCACTATGTTTGGGCTCATCTTTGCTATTTTGTTATGGGCATTGAATTTACCCTTTACCTGTATTTATTCATTTTTCAGTTTGGTCTGTCTTGATATTAGCTCCTGCTTCCACACAGGCTCCCACTGACACATGCAGGCTCGTGGTTTTCTGCCCTTACCAATTTCCTCCTAAAGTGGACTTTGACTCCATGACTCTGGGGCACAAGTCTATAAATTTTCCTAGAATTGGCAATAACTTCTGTATTCCATTCTCCCTGAATCTTTCTTACCAGGCCAGATAGATCCATAGTAAGAGAAGGGATTAATTATGTGAAAGTTCGCTGGGCGTGGTGGCTCAAGCCTGTAATCCCAGCACTTTGGGAGGCCGAGGCGGGTGGATCACAAGGTCAAGAGATCGAGACTATCCTGGTCAACAAGGTGAAACCCCGTCTCTATTAAAATTACAAAAATTAGCTGGGCATGGTGGCGTGCACCTGTAATTCCAGCTACTCGGGAGGCTGAGGTAGGAGAACTGCTTGAACTCAGGAGGTGGAGTTTGCGGTGAGCCAAGATCGTGCCATTGCACTCCAGCCTGGGTAACAAGAGCAAAACTCCATCTCAAAAAAAAAAAAAAAAAAAAAAAAAAAAATTAGGTGAAAGCTCATTGGAAATAGGGATTTCTATTTTCTAGATGATTGACCTGGATTGGGCCATATTTTATCTAGGCCACTTTCACTGAGATTTCTCAGATCTGGCCCTGCATTTCCACTATTCATTAACCACATACCGACGTTTTGTCAAATTCTGAAATCCTAACAACAAACAGTATAGATCAATGTTATGTTAGCAGAACAATGAATATGTGCAAAGTGACTCTTTAAGTAGTGTCAAAACTGTGACAAACTTCTTTTAAGGAAGTCAGAAAAAACAGTTTGCCCAAGGGTAAAACATATTTTTTTGGCAAGATGCATCAGCATAAATGCAGTTTGGCTGGATCATCTCTCCAAGGTTCAAATTCAGTAGCAGCAGAGACATAAACAGAATAAGTGTTTTTTCCCCCCCAAAAGATGTTAGAAAAGTCAAGAGTATTATGTGAATTTACTCAAATTCTAATTTTCTAAAACTTATACAAACCTTGACATGCAAATAAAATATTCTCTGTAGCTGCTTCTAAACCACTGAAGTTGTGAACAGTAACATATGAGTTACTATGAGACTGTATTTATTTACCTTTAGTGTTTCATTGAATTCTGGATTAGTGCCTGTTTTGATTTTGGTCTTACGCTTGTTGTTCCGGGACTTGTCAGGAAGAAGGTATGACTTGACATAACTATAGATAAGAAAATATAAATGTAATTATTGGGAAACATCTTTTTGCAAGAAATTCTGAAAGACTTCACTGTGAATAAAAGGGGCAAAAGGCCAGTGAGTATGAGAGGAAATACCAAAGAGAATTTTGTGTATATAACAGGATACCTTAAAACAGAACTCTGGGCCCTCCACAAGAGAGAAATGGTAAAGTATAATGATAAAAGAGTGTGGGTTCTGGAGTCAAGCCAACTGGCTTTGAATCACTCCATGCCTCAGAGGTTTTGGTGCCCTCAAGAATTTACTAAATAACCCCCCTGTGCCTCAGTTTCCCTATCAGTAAAAGTGGGAAAATAACCAGGTCTAACTGATGGCTTTATGAGGATTAATTTAGTTGACACATAGAAGGAGCTACCATATTGTACTACTCAATAAATGTAATATATTATTAATATTAATGGTCTCACTAACTTTTTTGGGATTACATGCTTCTCTATTCCTAGTCTTGTCTTCTGATGTCAGAGAGTGCAGTCAATGGTAATGGGTGAGTGAAAGAAAATAGTGAAAAAGGCAAAATAAAAATAACAACCTGAAGTAGTAATAGCAATTCTACCCAACACTTTAGTTTGAGGTATCTCAGGAGCCTCTTGAAGCAGGGTATCACAGCAGACTCACAAATGTACAAGATGTGTACAAAGTTGAAATGCATAAGATGCTACCAGAGTTCTACAGCATATCTGTTGAGTTTTAGATGACCTCTTTCCATGTTAGTCAAAATAATTACATTAGTCCTGTAGCCCTCTGAAGTTTAGTGGAGGAGGCAGGTGGACCAATCTGTAGTCAGAATCCACTCATTTGTCTATCTTATGGTATTTGGGACGAGGTTCACTTAGTTGTTTATTGGACCTAGGTCATCTATTGTACAGAAAAGTGTTAACATAGCGAGCCTGAGATTACCATTCTTCTAAACGTCTGCTTATAAATTTGGCCCTTGGGTGGCATCTGGCAACTTTGATTTCAGGAGGATTCCCACTCCAGAATTGATAAAAGTGGCTTGTTGTTCCTAAGCTGTTTGTACAAACAATATGGCTTATGCTGAACAGGTTCTTTCCTTCTGAGAGACGGGAAATTTGGTATGTGACCAGCTGAGTTTCTAACAAGCTTCCTTGGCAGACAACATATTTCACAAGTGTTGTCACAACTCATCACTGGAGGAATTAAATGCATCCTATGGGACTCCATTAGGAAAGGACCCTTGCAAGCTTGAGCCTGGTCTCCCCTGGATTTTGCTCCATGTGCCTCTTTGCTGATTATAACTGCATGCAGGGTCCTGAGCCCTCCTAGTGAATCACTGAACCTGGCAATGGTCTTGAGGACCCCTGGAACACCTTTATATCTAGCTTCTCTCCAATGTGCTATGGTTCATACCTGCCTTCCCAGTCTGATCTCTAGAATCCTGAGAGCCTTATAATTGCCCTTTTGAGTTGTTTAATTGGGTAACAGCTTGGTAATTTTCTCTGGAGGATTTCCCAGAACAAAAATGGACAGGATGCTTTTGTACAACCTGGGTGTGCCAACATGCCAGCTTTCTACTTCAAGGAGCTGCTGCTGTGTAAATTTCAAATATGTCAATCCTGAATTACGTTTTAAAAATCAGTTAACCAAGGACACAACCAGTATACATGTGCTTCAGAGAATATTTAGAAGTGCGGTATAGGAGGAAAGTGACAATCAACTCTCTAAGAAGACTGAATCAGGAAGAATGCTAAGAGTCTTTTGAAAAAGAAACACACATACAGACAAAAAAGGCAGTGATTGAAATAGTCTGACGAACATGCTATATGCTTACGCATCTGTCCTCTGTTTCTTTTCATCTCCTATGGCCAGATTTCTGCAATTCTTGACAAAAATGTATAGCCCACCAGTTTTGTAGCAGTAGCTGATACGGAGAAGGATTTCACCACTGACTTTCACATTGCCATAGTCTCCTGTTTCACTGTAAACACTCATCATGCTGTTAAGGCTGGTCTGGAATAAACAAGATGGAAAAAGGCATCCAGTGTCATTCTAATGATCTCTTCACAGAATCAACCCTCTTCATTCAATTATAGTTCCTGTTCTTTATAATGAGCTCAGAAGTCTAGGGTGAGCAAAGAAAACAAGAGTCACATGTTTTGCTTGTTTGGCTGCTGCTGTACAAAATCCAAGCTGGAGAAAGGACAACAGATCTAGTACCACCAGGAAAAAAGGCAGGAAACTTGCTTAGAGGGGAGCACTTCTTTCTTGTGTTAGAGAATATCCTTTGTTTATTCACTTCTACTAATGAATACAGGATCATTGAGGCATTCCAAATCTCACCTCTTGTCCATCCCTGCAGCTTCCTCCATTTTCACTGGTAGACTCAAATTCAATATACTTTAAGGTGTAGAATACATTGGGACAAAGAATAGCTTATCTCATATTCTGTGCTAGCAGGGGCCACACACTTCTTTCTTTGACACCTACAGGGAGCATCCCATCAGTCTCCAGGGAGTCACAATTGTAGCTTTAACAAGGACATGCCAGAAGAACATCACATACCCACAGCTTCCATGATTTCCCTCAACTGAGTAGCTAGCTGTGTGGCTACATTAGTAGTATAAGATCATGGCTTTGTAAATCTGTATAAAGTAGCAGCCCACAAAATATACCATTAAACAATAAAATCACACACCAACTAATCATCAAAATAAACTGAAAAAAGTTCAAATCTACCAGAATGAATGAAGCTTTTGACAAGACACTAATGGCATGAGCTGGCTTTTAATTTATAGTAGTCCCCCTTAACCACAGTTTTACTTTCTGTAGTTTCGGCTACCTATTGTCAATTGTCAGCAAAAATATTAAATAGAAAACTCCAGAAACAAACAATTCATAAGTTTTAAATTGTATGCTGCTTTGAGTTTGTGAAAGGAAAATATCTTGGGCCCCCAAAATCACTAAGCTAAAGGGAAAAGTCAAGCTTTGAAAGGAACTGCTTAGGGCAAATCTGCTTCAGATTCTGTTCAAAGTCACCCCTCCGCTCACTGAGATAAATGCATATCTGATTGCCTCCTTTGGAGAGGCTAATCAGAAACTCAAACTAATGCAACCATTTGTCTCTTATCTACCTATGACCTGGAAGCCCCCTCCCCACTTCGAGTTGTACCATATTTCCAGACCCAACCAGTGTTCATCTTACGTATGTTGATTGATGTCTTATGTCTCCCTAAATTATATAAAACCAAACTGTGCTATGACCACCTTGGGCACATGTCAGGACCTCCTGAGGCTGTGTCAGGGGTGCCAGTCCTCAGCCTTGGCAAAATAAACTTTCTAAATTAACTGAGACCTGCCTCAGATTTTCGGGGTTCACAAGTAGCATGATGAAATTTCACGTCATACTGCTTTATTCCACCCTGGATGTTAAGTCTCCTTTTGTCCAGTGGATCCACACTGTAGATGCTACTTGCCTGTCAGTCACTTAGCTGTCTCAGTTATCAGATTGACTGTCCTGCTGTCACAGAGCTTGTGTTTAACTCAGTCTTATTTTACTTAATTATGACTCCAAAGTGTAAGAGTAAAGATTGTGGTAATTCATACATGTCAAAGAGAAGCCAAAAGTGCTTTCTTTAAGTAAAAATGTGGCCTTGGTGTTCCTTGGCTAGGGTTCAGTACTATGTGAGGTTTCTGGCATCCACTGGGGTGGGTAGAAAGTATCCTCTGTGGATAAAGGTGAATACTGAAATGTAATTAAAATATTCTGTGGTACTAGAAGTGAAAACTGTATATCTTAGTAACAGTCACAAAAGACCACCTGGAAGTCTTTCATGGATGACCCAGTAGTTTCAAAAACACTTTTCTGTGAAGCACTGGGAAGTCAAGGCTACGGCAAGTACACAGGGACCTTAGACTGTCCTCTTTTTGCTTTTGGTAAAAATTATTATGTTCCAACAATTTTTGGAGTAGAGACTGACCAAAGAACAGGATGTTGGTGATGTGGCCACATGTCCTCTGAGCTTCTTCACAGGCAAGAGCAGACCAATAATTCCATAACTATTTGGAAATTACAGTTTAAAGAAAGCCAGTGAGTGACCTAATCTTTCTTTCCTATTCCTAAAACAGAGCAACAGAAGTTTCATATTTAGCAGGTGGCTTTGAGGAGTGCTTTTCAAACTTTAATTGTATATAAATCACCCAGAGATCTTTTTAAAATGAAAATACTGATCTCTTCAGTCTAGGGCAAGGTCTGAGATTTTGCTGTTCTAACAAACTCCTAGGCCTGCAGTTCCCAAAATGTGTATCAAGATACCACAGAGTACCACAGCAAACTCACAGGGGAATCACAGAAATATTTTAAATTCTCAAGGGAAACATATCAATACCTATCAGATACCATGTAAGCTCCTAACTAGTAATTCACAGTGTCAACATTAAACCACACTTTACTCTTTTCAATGAACTCCTATTTGTGTGAAGCTGACTTTTTTGGCAGTTGCTGCAACAAAAAGAAAATATTTCATAAAAATAAATATGAAATGGGAAATGAAAATAGTGATGTCTAATCAGATTCCAAGATTTGATAACTGTGTAATTCTCAATAGGCACACATATCCTGTTAGTGGTAAGTGATAGGGGTTATTTAAGGATGCAATAAAAATACCATTTTTTTCTTTTTCTTTTTTTTTTTTTTTTTTTTTTGACAGAGTCTTGCTCTGTCGCCCAGGCTGAAGTGCAGTGATGTAATCTCAGCTCACTGCAACCTCCACCTCCTGGGTTCAAGCAATTCTCCTGCCTCAGCCTCCCTAGTAGGTAGGACTACATGCATGCGTCATCACTCCCAGCTATTGTTTTTTTTTTTTTTTTTTTTTTGTATTTTTAGTAGAGACAAGGTTTCACCATTTCGGCCAGATGGTCTTGATCTCTTGACCTCGTGATCCGCCCGCCTTGGCCTCCCAAAGTGCTGAGATTACAGGCGTGAGCCACTGTGCCCTGCTACTATTTTTCTTTCAATTTATTGTAGCATTTTTTCCCAAATGGTTAGTAAATTGTTAGGATGCAAGTGCTTACTAAATGGTTTGGGTCTAACTACTTAATAAATGGGCTAGTTAGGTGCTACTTTTAGTATAGGAGTGCCATCAAAGAATTACTGAGACACTAGGGGCTTTGTGAACTGAGAAAGTTTTGGAGTCTGTATTCCAAGTGATGCAACAATTGCTAGTCCACGGAGAATGCTTTGAGTATCAAAGGTTTTAAGAATAAGCCCCAACCTCCTCATGTTATAAATGAGAAAATTCTGGTTCACAAAAATGGTTGATAGTGTCAAGACATAAAGCAAGATCTCCCAGTTTCTTGTCTGAGGACTACCCCACCATACCTGACTACCCTTATTTATCACTGATTTGTGTCTATACCACATCTCTGTAGCCACATCTTCAAAGAACATCCTCTGTAGCAGAGGGCCCCTATGGATAAAAGGAAATATAAGAACTCACAAATACTGGAGCTTGTGAGGAATTAAGACAGCTATGGCAATTTTACTACTAACTAAACTTTATGCATTTAAGTAAGCTAAGACTATAATTTAAAATAGATGTTTACTCAAATGTTTTGCTTATGGTAAATCATTTTAAACCATGTGTCTTTTGACTGGCATTCAGATTCCAATGTTTAATGAATTGGAATACTTGGGTTCTGATAACCTCATCAATCTTTTAAAAGAGAACCTCTGGTTAATTCTGTATAAGTCAGAAAAAGATAAATATGGGACAAATTGCTTAATCATAGCTCCCAGACCATGAAATGTATGAAGTATGTTTGAAAGAACAAAGAAGAAAGGTTGAAAACTCACAGTGTCTGAATCAGCATCAGGCACATTTAGGTAGGTCCACTTCCTGTCAGAACCTGCTTGAGAATTCTTTAGAGAAGTCATCCAAAGATCAAAAGAAAAAAAAAAAAAACATCAGAGTAACAGAAATCAGAGAAACCAGGAAAAAGACTTACAGACGCACAGATAGATACAAGGACGCAGGGCCTTCCTTTCAAAAAAGGCCTTGAACACTAAAGTAAGAAAGGACTTTATTTTGTAGGCAGTGGGAAGCTATGAATGGGTTTTAAATAGATAAGAGAACTGATTGGGCATGTGTTTTAGGAAAATGACTGACAGCAATCTGGAGGACAGCTGGGAGTTTAGAGAATGGTGTCAGGGAAATTTGTCAGCAGAAAATTGAAAAATAATTTATAGGCTTGAGCTGACTGAGTCTGAACTAGGGAGTGAGGAGATTTTAAAACCTGGGTGAGGACCAGAAAAAGGAAGAAATCAGGAGCCTGAGAAAAAGCCCACACCAAATTAGACTGAAAGGTACTCTGTGGGCAAAGGGCTAGCAGGATCCTACAATGATTTTTAACTCATTATCATGCCTTTTCCCAAGAACATTCATATCTTCTTTGGAAATGCAAAGAAAATCAACAGGAGAGAGAAGAAAACTTTCCACATTTTATAGTGAACTGCTTACAGTTGATAGGCCACTTGCCAGACTGTGAGTATTTGTAGATAACTGCGAGGACACTAAAGCATCAATGCTTTCTTCAGTCTCTTCCAAGGAGTCCTAAGAAAGAACAGGAAAAGTCAATGGGTTGGTTTACTCTTTTTTTAGAATGTCTTTTCACTTGAAATAACACTTTCTTTCATAGATATTTGAGATTCAGATAAAAATATCTAGAAATAATTCCATTCCTAGGTTTTTCTCTTTTCCTCTCCAGTCAATCTGAATTATACCATCAGAGAAGTGGGCAGGGATAGTGGGTAGAGAGTGGGGTCTCCTTTCTAATGGTGCTTAGTTTATGGAAAGAACATGAAATTTGGAATCATACAGACCTGGGTTCAATTCCTATCTCTAAGGTGATTTGTATTGGGCAATGTACTTAGGTTATTTTAATTTGACACACACACACACACACACACACACACACACACACACACACACTGCCAAGTTGGTAAAATATATCTCAAAAATCTCTCCACTAGGATGAACTAGTTACTGGACTGTCATCTCAAATCCCAGATTCTGCTTTTCCTTTCCCATTTCTTTTTCTCCTTCATGATAAAATGGCTTTTTTTTTCCTAGTTACTTAAGCGATATATTTTCCTAGTAAAAATATTTCAAGCAATATACATAAATGGAAATTAAAAACTTAGGTCTCTCATTAACATATTCATGATCAAATGTCAATATTTTTGATTATATGATCACACACATACATACACATATACACGTAGATCAATTATATCACACATACTGCTTTTTATTATGGGCACTTTTCTTTTTTTGCTTCACCTCTCCTCCTTCCCATCCTTTCACCCCAGGTGAAATTAATATTTAGCATCCTGTTGTACATATTACATTCCATGTCTTTCTCCTTGTTTAAAACATGTGAAAAAATCATTTGAAAACATACACACACAAATCTAAGTATACATTCATGAGAATTTTTTAAACTATTGTTTTACAAATCAGGATTATGATATACACTTCTGGGGTTGGTTTTCAAAAGTCTTCATTATAAGATAAAACATATTAAAAAGCACATAAAACATAGATGTATAGTATAATAACAACATAAAATGATCAAACAGAAGCTCCCTATATATCCTGTCCATACCACAACCCCCTTCTCTCCCCTGGGAAGAGTTAATATTTTAATTCTTGTGGTTAATCACATCCTTGCTTTTATTTACAGTTTAACTGTATAAGCATACACTCCAAAACAAAATGATTTTGTTTTTCCTGTGTTTGCACTTTGTGAAAGTGTAATTAAATGCTATATATTCCTTTATGTTTTGCTTTTTTTGCTTAATATTGCCTTAAAATTCATCCAAATTGTTACATATTTTTGTAGACCATTCTTTTTTTGCCATTTAATATTTCATTGTATGATATCCAAAACTTTATTCATTCCCTAGTTGCTTAATATTTGGGTTATTTTCAGATTTTTTTTTCTATTGTGACCAACACTGATATAAATATTTTGTGAATATGTATCCTGGCACATATATACACACTACAGTATACACACACCACAGTATATATATTCACACACTTGAATATATACCAGTGAGAGGAATTGTCAAGTCATGGGGCACACAAATCTCCACATGCTTATCTATATCATTTTAAAGATAATGTCAAGTTTTCAGAAGTAGTTATAGCAATTTATAGTCTAACCAGTAGTGTACAAGAGTTCCCATTCCTCCACATCTTTGCCTGCAAACAGATGGTATTGTTAGATTTTTTTTCACTTTTGCCAATCCAGTAGATGTTTACAGTCTTCATGGTTTTAATTTCCAATTCTCTTATTACTAAGCTGAATACCATTTTGTGATGATTGGTCAACTGAATTTTCTGTTTTGTGAAGTACTTGTTCAAAAATTGCTTGCTTTTATATTGGTTTACAGTAAGTCATCACTTAATGTCATCCATAGGTTCTTGAAAACTGCAACCTTAAGTGAAAGGGTGTGCAGCAGGTCCTCAAATAATGTCATTTCATTATAATGTTGATAAAAAACGTTTTTGTTACAGGTCACTTTGCTGAAAGTGGCAGTTTCTAAGAATCTGTTGATGATATTAAGTGAGAACTTACTTTACTTGCCTTTTTCTCACTAATGAGCCCACAAGATAAGCTGGAATATCTTGTAGAATAGCATCTTGAAAGAAAGTGCTGACTTCATGGATGAATCCATCCAAACATTTGGGGAAGAATTAATGCCAATCCCCGTCAAATTCTTCCAAAAATTGAAAAGGAGGGAACACTTCCAAACTTATTTTAAGAAGCCAGCATTACCCGGATACCAAAGTCAGACAAGGATACTCAAAAAAAGAAAGGAAAAAAAAAAAAAAAAGAAGAAGAAAAAGAAAAAGGACAAAATTGCAGGCCAATATCCTTGATAAGCTATAGATGCAAAAGTCCTCATCAAAATCCTAGCAAACAGAATTCAACAGTGCATGAAGAAGGTCATTCAACCTGACGAAGTGAGAATTTATCCCTGGATGCAAGGATGGTTTAACATAAACAAATCAGTTATTACAATAATCTGCATTAACAGAATGAAGGATAAAAATCACATGATCATCTCAATAGATTCAGAAAAGGCAGTAGCCAAAATCAACATCTTTTCATACTAAAAACTCAACAAATTAGATAAAGAAAAAATTTACCTCAACATAAAACCATACATGACAAGCTCTTAGCTAACATTATACCCAACATACCCAACATTGAAAAGCCAAAAGCATTTCCTCCAAGATCAGAAATCACTCTTACTAATTCTACTCAATATAGTACTGGATGTCCTAGCCAGAGCAATTAAACAGGGACAAGAAATAAAATGCATCTCAATTGGAAAGGAAGAAGTAAAATTGTCTCTGTTTGCAGATGACATGATTTTATATATAGAAAACCCTAAACAACTTAAACAGAATGCTGCCAAAACTAATAAGCTCTTTAATTCTGAAAAATATATCCCTATTACTTTTTCAAATTGTCCCTTTTCTATATTTTTATGTTTTGCTCAGTCTGGGTATGCAATTACCCAATGGTCATCACACAATGTACCAGTCTTCATATTTCTTTACTTTCTTGTTAAAAGTGGATATTACAAAATTCAAACACTTACAAAATAGAAAGAATAGCATAATGAACCGTTGTAACTGATTACACGTTTTAACAATGATCACTTTTCTAGGTATTTTCCTTGCTGCTTATTTTTTCTCCCACAACTTTATTGAGGTATGATTTACATACTATAAAATTCACCTATTGTATGCATGCAATTCAGTGATTTTTAGCAAATTTATAGTTGAGCAAACATCAACATAATCCAGTTTTAGTATGTTTCCAACCTAGTAAGTTCCCCCATTCCTGTTTACAGTCAGTCCCCACTTCTTCACTTCCTGGCAACCATTAATCTACTTTAATTTCCCTATCAATTTTCCTTTCATTGACATTTCATATAAATGTAATTATGTGATATACAGTTTTGCCTGGTTTCTTTCACTTAGCATAATGTTTTCAAGGTTCATCAATGTTGTAGTATGCATTAGTACTTCATTTCTTTTTACTTTTGAATAATAGATCATTGTAGTCTAGCCACCAGACATTATCATTTTCACTTTTTGGCTCTTATGAATAATGCTGCTGTAAATATTCATGTATAAGTCTTTATGTGGACATAAGTTATCATTTCTATTGGGTAGATAACTAGGATCAGAATTGCTATGTCATGTGGTAAATTTATGTCTAACTTGTAAAAAAATTACCAAACTCTTTTATGAAATGGTTGTAGGTAGCATTTTTCATTCCCATAAGCAATGTAGGAGGTTCAAATTTCTCCACATCATCATCAACACTTTTATTATGTCTTTTTAATCACAGCCATTCAAGGGGGTGAGAAGTAGTATCTCATTGCGATTTTAATTTTCATTTATCTGATAACTAATGACCCTGAACATATTTTAATGAGGCTATTAGGCATTTGTAAATTTTCTTTGGTTAAATGTCTATCCAAATCTTTTACCCATAATCTAATATGATTATTTGTCTTTTTAATATTGAATGTAAAAGTTTAAAGAAATATATTCTAGATACAAGTCCTTCAACAACTATATAATCTGAAAATACATTTCCAGTCTGTGGCTTGACTTTTCATGTCTGTAATGGTGTCTTTTGAAGTGTAAACAAATTTCATTTTGATGAAATTTATCAGTTTTTTTTTCTTGAATACATGTATCATGCTTTTCGTGCCATATCTAAGAATTTTTTGCCTAACTCAAAGTCTTGGAGATTTTCTCCTAGGTTTTCTTTCAGAATTTTATGGTTTCAGTTCTTATATTTAGGTTTATAATCCATTTTGAGTTACTTAGTTTCTGCATGGTATATGTTAAGAGTCAAAGTTCTTTTTTGTTTTGTGGTATTTGGACATCCAATTGTCCCAGTATGATTTGTTGAAAGATTATTCTTTCCCCACTGAAGTACCAAAAATCAATTGGCCATAAAGTTTTTTTTTTTGTTCTGGAATCTCAATTCTATTCCATTGATTCCCTATGCTTATGCCAATACTATGTTGTATTGATAACTGTAAGTGTAAAGTAAGTTTTTAAATCTAGTAGTATAAGTCTTCCAACTTTGCTCTTTAAAATTGATTTTGTTATTTTGGGTCCCATATGTTTTTATATAAATGGCAGAATCACAATTTCTATTTCTTCAAAATTATCCTGCTTGAATTTTGATTGGGTTTGCATTGTCCATAAATTTATTTGGAGAGAATTTCCATCTTAAAAATATTGACTCTTCTAATCCATTAACAAAGAATATCTTTCCACTTATTTAGGTCTCTTTTAATTCAGCAAAATTTTTGTTAGTTTTAATGCACATGCTTTATACTTTTAAAAATGAATTAATTTCTTACTTTTGAAAATAAATTTTCATGCTATTGTGAATAGAATTATATTCTTAATTTCATTTTCCAATTGATCATTGCTAGGATGTATAAATGCAGTTGATTTTTGTATATTGATCTTATCTCCTGCAACCTTGCTGAACTTGTTTATCAGTTCTAGTCATATTTTTGTAGATCCTTTATTACCTTCTACGTACTAAATCACACCATTTTCCTCTTTAATATGTTGATATAAATTATGCTGACAAATATTCTTATATAGATTCATTCTCCCACCCTTAATTAGCATAAAACTTACTTATTGATATTTCTATTCATTGCTAGATTTTAATTGATATCATATTTAAAGTTTTGCATATATACTCATAAACCAGTTTGACTTGTAGTTTTGTTTTTTAAACTATTTTAAAAATCAAGTTTGAGTGTCAAGGTTATACTGGCTGCATACAATGAATTTAAAGATTTTAATAATTTTTCTAAGATCAGGAATAGTTTAATAGTTTAATAATGCTGGAATTAGTAGCTCTTTAAAGGTTGAACATGAGTAAGCTTTGAAATAATTTGATCTCATTGCCTACCTCTCTTTTGGAGGTGGACTTTAAAGTATTTTCCCGTGTTTTCGTACTATAGGAAACAATATTTCATTTTAGAACTCTAAGTTTCCTAATTTGCTTTGGAAAAGCTATCAATACCATTTTATATTTGTATTCTACTTCTTCCAAGGCATCCAAATTTTATTATAGCAATTATAAAAATCTGAATATCTGAATATTAGAATGGGAAATAACCTTTACAATAATCTAATTTAACCTTCTCATTCTAGAAATGAGTTCACTGAAACATTAATTTTCAAATAATTTTGTCTTGTTTAGAAGGGAATTTATTGGTGGTAATTTGAGATATAACAATGTTCATATAAATATGTAATCAGATATGTCTAATAATATTTGGCTTAGGAAAATGTTGGAATACCTCATTTCCTGGTTAGATTAAGTGATAAGCCTTTAGCCAGAAATTGAAATCTCCAACAGGAGTTTTCTTAGAGATAATTTTCACTCATTAACCTGATTACCAAAAAGCTTTTCTAAGTTATTATTTCAGTTTTTGTGTGTTGACTGTGAAGGCCAACAAGAAGAGATGATTGATATCCTCTCTTTACTCTCAACTCATCGTCACTAAAAGTGTAACCACTTGAACAAGATTATGCTCTTATTTCCTCTCATCATTATACTTTCTTTCACAATCAGCTTACCTTGTCTAAAGCCCCAGGGACAGACTTGCTTCTTATGCTTCCGGTATCCTCTAAGTCTTCTGTAAAGGACTCACTCAAATCTAACTCAGATCGACTCCGATCTGGAAGGCGGAAAGAAAAAGAAAGATGTGAGTCAGTGTATCTTGTGAGAAGATTTCATTTTTTATTGCAAGTGTTTCACCTTTATTTCAAATTTTTTAGGCACAGATCATAAACAGTACCATGAAAGCAACAGTCAGAGTCAGTAACTTTATGCTGTTTATGATAACATACTTACATTTTTAATAGTATTTTGGTAATTGCCTTGGACTGAATTACAGTTATGCGGTTCATGTTTCCTTCTATCACAGGAGGTTAAATGTTCTGTTATAAAATGCTATGTTTTAAGCTATTTAAGTCAACTGCTTTGCTCCTAGACTTTTAAAAACCCTCTTAGAATGGGCCCTTCAGCTTAGAAAAAATAAAACATTAACCATTATTGCTTGCAATATTTAGAGAATTCACTATGTTTTCAGGTTTGACATAAAATGCAAGTCAACCAATTGTAAACTGCCACTTTGTGATATAGCAAGTTCCTTTTGCACAAAAAGGAGGGGCTATAAATGCATTGAGAGGTCTTAAGGCAACAGAACATTCTTTCATCAGAATAACATCTTGTTTTCAGTTTTGAAAATATAAGTTACAGAGCAATACACCTCTCAGTAATGCTGTGGACAGCTTACCAAGTCAGGACAGCCTATTTCCACAAAATAGTTCTATACTAAAACACTACTGAGATCGATATAGTTACTTATAAATGAGAAAGTCTGGAGAGAGTAATCAAGTACTTAAGTTTGAATTGGTGAAAACAAAATGTCATATGGCCTGACACAGAGTATGTACTCAATAAACAGAAGCTGTTGAGTAGAAGTAGTGGAAGTAGACACTATGATATTGGCTTCTAAACAGTTTAAATATTTAATTAACAGGTGAACAGCTGTTTTACTTCTGAGCAAAATGTAGCAATGACCACACACATTTAGAAAGCCCTTTGGGTGTTGGCTGGCTAGAAGAGACCCATTAATTCAGCATAAAGAATCCTGTTTTAGGATTTATGTATATATCATCATTAGGTAACAGGTAGCTTATTTTATTTTATTTTATTTTGACAGAGTCTCTTGCTCTGTCACCCAGGCTGGAGTGCAGTGGTGTGATCTCAGCTCACTGCAACCTCTGCCTCCTGGGTTCAAGTGATTCTCCTGCCTCAGCCTCCCAAGTAGCTGGGGTTACAGGCATCTGCCACCACGCCTAGCTAATTTTTGTATTTTTAGTAGAGGTGGGGTTTCACCATGTTGGTCAGGGTGGTCTCAAACTCCTGACTTTGTGATCTGCTTGCCTCGGCCTCCCAAAGTGCTGGGATTACAGGCATGAGCCACTGCACCTGGCCACAGGGAGCTTTTCAACGTTGAAGTCTTCATCATGATTTTTATTCTATGTATGGGACATAAACTTCATAATTATGACAAATTTCTCTAAAGAATTTTATTAGTTATAAGTATTAACATTTCAAAATGAATTAATAGCTGCTTCAGAGAACTGTTGTGATAATGAAGTAAAATGATATATTTGAGTGTACCATGCAAATGAAAGGGGTAATTATTAATACCTTAATGCTGCTTGCAAATAACTTCTTATTTAAACTACAGATTTTCTTTTGTCTATATTTTGGGAACTTCTGACCACTATATCAATTGAACTATCATTTCCTTGAACTCTGAGCAAGTGTTCTTATCTATAACATCAGATGTATCCTGGAAACATTTATATTTCCTACACTCATATATTGATATTCTGATGTAGCACTGAAACTTGGTGATGATGCCTGGCTAGAGTATATACTAAATAAATGGAATTTTTATGAATGTAAGATGCCAAAAGCATTACCTGGGTCTATCTTCAAGCAGTTCTATGGAGGGGTCTACCATCATAGGTCAAAGAAGGGATGCTTATTTTTTAAAGCATGAAACATCCGTTTAATACCATACATAGCAGTCAATTTCATTTGCTTTAGTCATTTTATACAACAGAGTAGGCATGTTGTAAATACCCACCTGAGGAGAGAGAGGTTCCAGACACTGCTATGGAAGGTGTGCCAGAAGTGTTTCTGTGGTGATTCTTTGTGAACTCCTGAGAGGTGCTTCCAATAGCAGCCAAACCCATGGGATTTTCGAAACCATACTACTTCCCACAAAGTAAAAATGAGAAAAAAAAAAACCCATTATACTGACTGTAATTTACTGTAAAATTCACCTATATAAATATACTTCAGTATAAATACCTTTATATGTATTACAATTTAGGAGGAGCTAATTGACATTTGAAGGACCCTCACCAGGAGTCCATATAACTCCAAAATTTACCATCAGTAATTGTTATAAAAAATCTGTTCCAAGAGATTTGTTAATTAGTGCAAAAGGTATCTGGACAATTTCTCATTCCCAAAATTAGTGAGTGCTCTAATATATGATTAATAAGAAAGATTATACAGGTACCCTCAATCTTATATGAACTATGTATAACAATCTGGCAAGATTAACACTCTCAGAGCAACACTCAGGCTTAGAACTCTGTTTGGTCCCATTTTGTCCTCTCTTTCAACTTACCCTCTCCTCAATTGTCTCTTACTTCTTCCACCCCCATTTAACAGAACACCATTCACCTTTTCCAACTAGAAGGCTTGCTGGTCAGAATATGGGTGTTTACATCTGTTTTGAAATGACTTTCATGCATGGTACTTATCAACGTTCATAAAAAGATAAAGAGTGAAAACTTCCCAAGGTCACAGGAATAGTGATTTTTTTTTTTTTGTGGTGTCTCCTTGTTAATAAATGCTTGTACATGTGGCAGAATTCAGTCTGGAACTTGCTTTTATTATAATGCATGGTAAAGAAATTCTGTCCCAACTTTGCCCATGACCATAGACCCAACGTTGTCTGTGACCTTTGCCCTGCCATAGACCATGGCAGGGCTTGACTGCTGCCTCATCCCAAGCTTGCTTGAGCGTTAAAACAAAAACAGCAACAACAACAAATTTTGGACCTTTTCAGAACCGGGCTGAGGTTAAGTGTCCATTCAAATTACATCATGATATGATAATCATCAAATCTAAAACAGACTTTTCATTTCTCCCTTCTGTGAACAATCAAAAAGTGCCTTTCGAAATCCTAGATGAAGAATTCCCTCCTTGTTTCCCATAATTTAGATATTCAGAGATACTTTGATAAACTCACTACAGAGAAATGTGGCTTTCACTTGCTTAACAGACTAATCGATTCAGCTTCAATTTAGACTGTTTTTAGTACATTATTATTCTCCAACATATAATACTTATAGCAGGAGGTGTGCAACTCCTAACTTGCTCTAATTGCCATAGACAAGCAAAGTTTATCAAAAGAGTGTGACAGAGGTCAAATTGATAAATTAGTTTAGGTCAATTTTCAACACCTCTTCAAAAAGTTGTTCACATCTGGAGTCCTCTAATGAAGCAAGACCAAGTTCCTTGGAGGCAATTATGTTAATGGCAAGTTTCCCACCGGTGATCTGTATTAATATTGAGCACTAATAGGCCAATTAATATTGCACAGTCATTAACAAGCAATATATATCCTGGAGGTTCAGGATGTCAAACCTAAAATTAATAGGTTGTATCGTAACAGAGGACAGGTTAGAGACTTTCATACTCTAAAAGTATTTTGTGATGGTTAATATTAGGTATCTACTTGATTGGATTGAGGGATGCCTAGATGGCTGATAAAGTATTATTCTGGGTGCGTCTGTGAGGGTATTGCTAGAGGAGATTGACATTGAAGTCAGTGGACTGAGAGAGGAAGACCCACTCCCAGTGTGGAGTGGGCACCATCCAATCAGCTGCCACTGTGGTTAGAGCGAAGCACATGAAAGAACAGAGATAAGCAGCTTGCTTGCTGGGTCTGCTCACTCTTTCTCTTCCCAAGCTGCACCAGACACTTGGCTTCCTCTCCTCCTGCCCTTGGGCATCAGACTCCAGATTCTTCAGCCTTTAGACTCTGGGACTTGCACCAGCAGCCTCCCTGGGGCTCTTGGGCTTTCAGTTTCAGACTGGTGGCTGCACTGTAGGCCTGCCTCGTTTTGAGGCTTTTGGACTTGGATTGAGTCATCCTACTGGCTTTTTTCTTTCTGCAGCCTGCGGACAGCCTATTATGGGATGTTGTCTTGTGAGCAAATTCTCCCTGAAAAACTCCCTTATATATATCTACATGTATCTTATTGGTTCTATCCCTGTGGCTATCCCCAATACATTTTCTTTCATGCTAAAGCAGAAAAGAATACTGAAACAAAGAGATGCTAAGAAATGGGAGAAACTGAGAAGTTGTTACCTTGCTTATCATCTAACGCTATATATTTCCCTTTAGAATGAAAGAGCAAATGTACTTCATAAACTACTGTGCTGTCTTATTTGTATTCAATAGAAAGTACTTCTCTTCATTTCTCTTAGAAAAGACCAGCTTAGACCAGCTAGATTGCAAGAATGAGATCAACATAGGCACTGTCTATGTATATGTACCTATACTAAACTCAATTGCAGGAAATTTCTGTTGGGGAGATCTAGGTGCTATTTAACAAAGAAATGCACAGGTAGGGTCTGTTAGTTTTGAGGGTATTAGCACATGAAAAGGGCTATTTCCCCCCTAATAATCTCAAATTGTATGTAGGAAGATAAGCCTTGTTGTGAGAATAAACCTAATTAGTTTATTGATCATTGGACTGATTGTCAGCTGCTACTCACTGGGACAACTGTACTATTTGTTAAATTTTAAAAAATATTTCTGTGTCAGTTGATAAACAGCACTACTCCTAGCTCACCACCCCCAACTTCCCTGTGCTCCCCCGCATCCATAAGCCAAGGTTTCTTCATAGTTCATGTTTAGTGCATGACATGGAAGGGCCCCCAGAATACTGCCCCAGCCTTGTGCCAGTGTCTGGCGTGATTATTCAACGTCCCTTCCAGACTGGTCACTAAATACTGCTAATATGGTTCCTTTTTAGATTGTCAAAGAGATGAGTGTAATTATCAACTATGCATGCGCCTTTCTGGCTATTGAACAGAATTGGCTTGCTGACCTTAGCATAAATATTTACGAAGTTTTAAATATGCTTTTAATCTTATTAGAAACTATAATTTAGACTATAAATATTTAAATAAATCTATTACTGTTATTTAGTCTGTCTGAATGCCTTAACAGAATTTGACTACTCATCACCTCCACTATCTCTTTGTTTCAAAATCCAGTCTCTCACATGGGATATGACAATGGCTTACTGATTGCTTTCCTGACTTTCACTCTTGTTCCCCTACAGCTTCTTCTCAGCACAGCCCCCAAATCCTGCTTAAAGAGAAGGCAGATTGTGTTACTCTTCTGCTCAAAAACCTCCAGTTTCCCCCATTTTAATCAGAATGAAAGCTGACTGCACACAGCACTCTTCAAGGCTCTATCCAGCCCTATGGCCTCTTTGGATTAATTTCCTAGTTCACTTTGCCTCATTCACTCACCACAGCAGCATTGGCCTCCTTGCTCTTCTTGGAACATACAAGCTGTGCTCCTACCTCAGAGTCTCCACACTGGCTATTCTTCCAGAGGTATGTTTAATAACATATTTTAGAAACTGGTTGAGCAAGGGCACTGACCAATCAAGATGGATGCCAGCTACAAGGAAGTGGAGCAGCCTTCCCTGCATATTCCTGCTGAATATCAGTGCTATCTCTGTCTGGTGGAACACCTTGCTCTAGAAAAGCACATGGCTAATTCTTTCACTTCCTTCAAGCATCTGCTTGACTAGAGCCTGTCATATAGTAAGTTATCATTATACGTTGGTTGACTAAAAGAATTGTTTGTATTGTATGAATTCACTGTTTATATAAAGATTTATCAAATATAGATGCTACCAATGTGGATGGAGCTTCCTGCTAAATTAAAAAAAAAATCTAGTAGATGCTAATTCATTCCAAAGGCAACTTCCAAAACAATATTAAATAAAAGAGAATATTTTTCCCAAAATGCTTTTTTCATATTCTCTTATAAAAGAGAAAACCAATAGAAAATACGATTGATCACATATATATATATAATGCAATTTAAGCCTTCATTATGTGTTGAACCTCCATCATACAAGTGCTACCTTTGAACCTGGTCTTTCCCTTCCCTTTTTCACTTTGGATTTTCTGCCAGGAGCTAAGATGCAGGAGGTTCAGTCCTGATGAAGCTTCTACCTTTAAACAGCATAAACAATATGCTTTGATATATAGAGAATACAAACCTAGCCATGCTGCAGTGGCGAGGTTGAATTTCAGAGACTGGGTGTCTGATATGGTTTGGCTCTGTGTCCCTACCCAAATCTCATCTCAAACTGTAATCCCTACAACCTCCACGTGTGGAGGGTGGGCCCTAGTGGGGGATGATTGAATCACAGAGGAGGCTTCCCCTGTGTTGTTCTTATGATGGTGAGATGAGATTTGATGGTTTTATAAGTGTTTGACAGATTCCTTCTGCCATGATTGTAGGTTTCCTGAGGCCTCTGCAGCCATGCAGAACTGTGAGTCAATTAAACCTCTTTTGTTTATAAATTACCCAATCTCTGGCAGTTCTTTATAGCAGTGTGAGAATGAAGTAATACAGTGTCAGGATTGTGTACTTACTTTACTGATGACTGAAGTCACACTTCGTGTGCTTGGAGCTGTTGACCTCTGAGTGACTGGGGTCACACCATTGCTCCGACTGCTCTTTGGGGTCCTAGGACCAGCTTCCTGGTCATTGAGATCTGATGAGCCAGTGCCTCCCCTAAATGAGAAAGCATATTCTGACTTTAACCTGGGAGCAGAGCAGCAACCAAATTCACAGGCAGAGTAAAGCTGACGAGGAAAATGATAAGAACATATGAACCACACTGAGTTCACAAGAGTCACACTGGAACTGCTCAACAATTATGATGTCACCTTCCTCCTCAAAATCCCTCAGGGGATCACTAGGTTTGTCTCCATTTGCCTGACTCCACGGTCACTGTAATTAAACTTTGCCCCGAATTAAATTAAGGAATGCTGGGAAGATGGCCGCCTAAGAACAGCTCAGGACTTCAGCTCCCAGTGAAAGTGCAGAGGGTGAGTGGACGCCGCATTTCCAGATGAACTCTTATTGCCCACAGACCAGGAGATACCCAGTCAGAGGGGTCGCCAGCGTCGCAATCCCAGCCAGTGCGGCTGTTTTGGCCCCTGCGGGACTGATTCCGCCCGTGCGGCTGCTGTGACCACTCCCTGTTGCTGCGGTTCTCCATACAAAAGCCACTGGTCTGGGAGCCCTCTTAGCTGGCGAGCAGAGCCCTGAGACGGCAGAGTTGCCCATTCAGCTGAAATAGCGAGTCAGGCCAGGAGATTCCTAAGCAAAAAATCCGCCAGGAGCCGGTGCCGCAGTCCGAGCCGACTCCGTGAGTCGCAGCACGGGAGATCCCCGCGCCTTTTCAGCAAGCGACCGGAATGGAACGCGGGGTCGTTCAACTTAAAAGAAAAGACTCGGAGTCAGGGAGCCAGGTGATCAGGCTCGGTTGGTCCCACCCCTCCACCCCCAACAACAACCAAAACAAAAACAGTAATTGGAAACCCTCTGGGTTGAGCCCTTCAAACCAAGCACAGCTGAACCCGGACGGTCCGGCTCGGTGGGGGAGGGGCTTCTGCCATTACTGAGACTCTCCACAGCTACAGAGGCAGGCTGCCGTTGCCGAGGCAACCTGCCTTTGCCGAGGCAACCTGCCACAACGGAGAGAGTCCGCCATAACAGAGGCGGGGCCACCGTTGCCGAGACAGTTCTAACTACACCCATATAAAAAGGACTGCAGGGAAGAGCTCAGGGCAGCTGGGCGGAGCCCACAGCAGCTCAGCAAAGCCCCTGCGGGCAGGCAGTGGCTAGGCGTGCTGCTAGCTGGGCGGGTCAGACCTGAAAGAAAAATCAAAAAAGGCAGTAGTGCAACGGAAACTCATAAAGCTCCAACTCCCTGGGACAGAGACAGACAACAGGTGGATAAACCCACAAAAATGGGAAGAAACCAGCGCAAAAAGGATGAAAACTCCCGAAACCAGAACACCTCTCCTCCTAAAAGGGATCACAACTCCTCACCAGCAAGGGAACCAGACCGGATGGAGAAGGAGGGTGATGAAATGACAGAATCAGACTTCAGAAGGTGGGTAGTAAGAAACTACAGTGAGCTAAAAGAACATGTTCTAACCCATCGCAAAGAAAAGAGGAACCTTGAAAAAAGATTGGACGAACTGCTGACGAGAATGGACAGCATAGAGAGGAGAATAAGTGAATTGATGGAGCTGAAAAACGCAACACGAGAACTTCGTGAAGCATGCACAAGCTTCAACAGCCGAATTGACCAAGCAGAAGAAAGGATATCAGAGGTCGAAGATCAACTCAATGAAATAAAAAGAGAAGGCAAGAACAGAGAAAAAAGCGCAAAAAGGAATGAACAAAATCTTCAAGAAATGTGGGACTATGTGAAAAGACCTAATCAACGTCTGATAGGTGTACCTGAATGTGATGAAGAGAATGAATCCAAGCTGGAAAATACTCTTCAGGATATTATCCAGGAAAACTTCCCTAACCTAGCAAGGCAGGCCAATATTCAAATCCAGGAAATACAGAGAACACCACAAAGATATTCCTCAAGAAGAGCAACCCCAAGGCACATAATCATCAGATTCACCAGGGTTGTAATGAAAGAGAAAATGCTAAGGGCAGCCAGAGAGCAAGGTCGGGTTACCCACAAAGGGAAGCCCATTAGACTCACAGCAGATCTCTCAGCAGAAACCCTACAAGCCAGAAGAGATTGGGGGCCAATATTCAACATCCTTAAAGCAAAGAACTTTCAACCCAAAATCTCCTATCCAGCCAAACTAAGCTTCATAAGTGAAGGAAAAATAAAATCTTTTGTGAACAAGCAAGCACTCAGAGATTTCATCACCACCAAACCTGCTCTACAAGAACTCCTGAAAGAGGCTCTACACATATAAAGGAACAACCAGTACCAGCCACTCCAAAAACACACCAAATGGTAAAAGAGCATCAACACAATCAAGAATCTGCATCAACTAACCAACAAAACAGCCAGGTAGCATCAAAATGACAGTATCAAATTCACACATAACAATACTATCCCTAAATGTCAATGGACTAAATGCCCCAATCAAAAGACACAGACTGGCAAATTGGATAAAAAGCCAAAACCCATCAGTGTGCTGTATCCAGGAAACCCATCTTACATGCAAGGATACACAAAGGCTCAAAATAAAGGGATGGAGGAAGATCTACCAAGCAAATGGAGAGCAAAAAAAAAGCAGGAGTTGCAATTCTCATCTCTGATAAAATAGACTTTAAAGCAACAAAGATCAAAAGAGACAAAGAAGGACATTACATAATGGTAAAAGGATCACTGCAACAAGAAGAGCTAACGATCCTAAATATATACGCACCCAATACAGGAGCACCCAGATACATAAGGCAAGTTCTTAATGACTTACAAAGAGACTTAGACTCCCACACAATAATAGTGGGAGACTTTAACACCCCCTTGTCAATATTAGACAGATCAACCAGACAGAAAATCAACAAGGATATCCAGGACCTGAATACAGACCTGGAACAAGCAAACCTAATAGACATTTACAGAACTCTCCACCCCAAATCCACAGAATATACATTCTTCTCAGCAACACATCACACCTACTCTAAAATTGACCACATAATTGGCAATAAATCACTCCTCAGCAAATGCAAAAGAACGGAAATCATAACAAACAGTCTCTCAGACCACAGTGCAATCGAGTTAGAACTCAGAATGCAGAAACTAACTCAGAACTGCACAGCTTCATGGAAACTGAACAACTTGCTCTTGAATGTTGACTGGATAAACAATGAAATGAAGGCAGAAATAAAGATGTTCTTCGAAACCAATGAGAACGAAAACACAGCATACTAGAATCTCTGGGACACATTTAAAGCAGTCTCTAGAGGAAAATATATAGCAATGAGTGCCCACATGAGAAGAAAGGAGAGATCTAAAATTGACATCCTATCATCAAAATTGATAGAGCTAGAGGAGCAAGATCAAAAAAACTCAAAACCTAGCAGAAGACAGGAAATAACTAAGATCAGAGCAGAACTGAAGGAAATAGAGACACAAAAAACTCTTCAAAAAATCAATAAATCCAGGAGCTGGTTTTTTGAAAAGATCAACACAATAGACAGACCACTAGCCAAATTAATAAAAAAGAAAAGAGAGAATAACCAAATTGATGCAATAAAAAACGATAAAGGGGATATCACCACAGATTTAAGAGAAATCCAAACCATCGTCAGAGATTATTACAAACAACTCTATGCACATAAACTAGTAAACCTGGAAGAAATGGATAAATTCCTGGACACCTGCATCCTCCCAAGCCTAAACCTGGAAGAAGCCGAAACCCTGAATAGACCAATAACATGGTCTGAAGTCGAGGCAGCAATAAAGAGCCTACCACCCAGAAAAAGCCCAGGTCCAGATGGGTTCACAGCTGAATTCTACCAGACATACAAAGAGGAGCTGATACCATTCCTTCTGAAACTATTCCAGACAATCCAAAAAGAGGGAATCCTTCCCAAATGATTTTATGAGACAAACATCATCCTGATACCAAAACCCGGCAGAGAATCAACAAGAAAAGAAAATTTCAGGCCAATATCCATGATGAACATAGATGCAAAAATCTTCAATAAAATACTGGCAAACCGATTGCAACAGCATATCAAAAAGCTTATCCACCATGATCAAGTAGGATTCATCCCGGGGATGCAAGGCTGGTTCAACATACGCAAATCCATAAACGTAATTCACCACATAAACAGAACCAAAGACAAAAACCACATGATTATCTCGATTGATGCAGAGAAGGCTTTTGACAAAATTCAACAGACTTTTATCCTAAAAACCCTCAATAAACTAGGTATTGACGGAACGTATCTCAAAACAATAAAAGCTATTTACGACAAACCAACAGCCAATATCATACTGAATGGGCAAAAACTGGAAGCATTCCCTTTGAAATCTGGCACTAGACAAGGATGCCCTCTCTCACCACTCCTATTCAATATAGTACTGGAAGTTCTAGCGAGAGCAATCAGGCAAGAAAAAGAAATAAAGGGTATCCAAATTGGAAAGGAGGAAATCAAATTGTCTCTATTTGCAGATGACATGATTGTATATCTGGAAGACCCCATCATCTCAGCCCAAAATCTCCTGAAACTGATAAACAACTTCAGCAAAGTCTCAGGATACAAAATCGACGTGCAAAAATCACAAGCATTCCTATACACCACTAATAGACTTAAAGAGAGCCAAATCAAGAACGAACTGCCATTCACAATTGCTACAAAGAAAATAAAATACCTAGGAATACAACTAACAAGGAACGTAAAGGACCTCTTCAAGGAGAACTACAAGCCATTGCTCAACGAAATAAGAGAGGATACAAACAGATGGGGAAACATTCCATGTTCATGGTTAGGAAGAATCAACATCGTGAAAATGGCCATACTGCCCAAAGTAATTTACAGATTCAACGCTATTCCCATCAAGCTACCAATGACTGTCTTCACAGAACTGGAAAAAAACACCTTAAACTTCATATGGAACCAAAAGAGAGCCCGCATAGCCAAGTCAATTCTAAGCAAAAAGAACAAAGCAGGAGGCATCACACTACCGGACTTCAAACTATACTACAAGGCTACAGTAATCAAAACAGCATGGT